TTTAAAAATATTTTTAAACTCAATTAACTGAACTCATGTCTCTCCTCTGCTACATTTTAATGTCAAATTATTTTTTATAGAATTTTTTGAAAATGTACAAATTAAACTACTTAATATTCTTTTCTCCCCATCGAGATCAAGATGATAAATATTTAAAATGATGACCAGCAGGTGGTGCTAAACAAAGACATCAGTTAAAAACAATTACAATAAAATAAAAAAAAACCTATGTGGAATAATTTGTTCCCAAACTTTTCAGGTTCTGAAACACAAAATAACATCAAAGGTTTGATGATAACCATTACTGGTCCCAGTATCACAATTAATCCAAAAACCAGTATTCAGTAACAAACTAAACAACTAGTAAACTATTGTCATCGATTTATTACAGCTTTTTTATTTATTTTATTCTAATTATAGCAGAATGTGTTATTAGGAATTATCCAGCTTTTTATTTCTGAAAATCATCCTAAGACTAGCACAATAAAATAAAATCTGAAAAGAAATTAAGAAACATCAGACTTTTTAACATTTTATACTAAACTAAGGTGCTAATGGAATAATCCTTGTTGTAGCCCAAACTTTATAATAAATACTTATTTAAATAAATGCTTAACTTGTGTTACTTTACTAAATGTTTGTTCAGTTATACTAATTTTTGTAGTTTATTGAAATCTGTTAATTTTTTTCTTAAGCTMCATTCAAGAGCACTCAGCAAATTGGTTTTATTTAGCCTTTAAAATGTAAAAAAATATTATAATACAGTGAAATAATATATCCACTGTGTTTTCAGTAACAATAATGATAGTATTTATATACAAATATTTGATGTTTTACTTCAGTAATGAGCACAACTGATCAGACAGAAAAGCCCAAAGGGGAAAAGTTTCAAATATTCCTAATTTGTGCAAAAACTCAGTAAAAACGGACTCAGAAATGAGAGTTCAGGTGGTGAAATGTTAAAAACACAAAGATTACTTGTCCACTCTCCACAGCTCGATCAGAGGCTAAACTTTGCTAACATGAGCTAACTACGTGACGAGCTAACGAAGGAAAACTTTATGTTGGGCTGTTCATCGGTTGCTCCACAGATAAACTGTGGTGTGTAAACTGTGTATTTGACAGAGAAAGAAAGGAGACTTTCAGTGTTTCCGAGGCGCCTCCTCACATCCAGCAGTGCAGCTTGTTAGCATTAGCCACATTAGCAGCTCACCTGCTCCACTGAAGTCACCGTTTCCACGCCGTCATCCACAAACATTTCTGCCGAGTGCTGCTCGCTGAAGCACCGCAGAGGCGTCGGAACACCGCCCATAATGATGGCAGCAAAAAACACCGTAGAAGGTTAAACAAGAACAGCAGCGACCTTTACTTTGTTTTGATACTTCTTTGCACAGATTGGAGCGAGAGAAATAAAAAAAGCAGCAGGAACGCAAACTACGGTGTCTCTGAGGGGACAAACTTTTTCCGTTCTGCTTCAGTCACGCGAAACAAGGATAAGTTCTTTAATAATTTGTCGTATTTTGACAGTTGACTAATATCTATTTTATTTTGACCGAATTAAGTTTCACATTATGCATTACTTCTATGGTTTATTTGAGCAAAATTAGAAAAATACAGGAAGTAGCGCGGTTTAGTTTTACAATGAAGTCACAGTTAACCTAATTGATAGCAAACTGCTAATGGCTACTTT